CATAAAAACTTGCTGAGGCCAAAAAAAAAAATGTTGTGTTTCCGGTGGCCCGACCGACCCTATTTTTTTAGCGCCGACCCAAAGTTTTTTATCGAGTACAAAAAAAATTGGCGCCCGTACCGAAGACAGGTTTTAGTATCGCGAGTCGACAACGATGTTAGGCACAGACGATTCGTGTTCCAATTAAGCATTAACGCGCACCGGCAAACATGGCGGCACAACAAGCAGCCGAAGTGTCACTGCTGGCGATTTCCTTAAAAACATGCGATCATAGTGTGACAAAACAGGAAATCAAATTAATTGACCACAGCAAAACAGCTCAAAACATTTTTTTGGACGTGCATGGTCATATTAAGAGTGAGAATATTACAATTGAAGCCAGTTGTTCATTAAGAATTAAAAAAAATGAAAACGAAAGTCGAGTCATGCCATTGGTAAAATTTATTTCAAAATGTAAGATTGAAGTCTAGGTTTGGTAGTCTAACATTGTTAAATACTTTTATGCTATGGAATTTACAGACCATATAATCCGTATCATATCTACAATCGTTGATTGACAGCAAAAAAAAAAATCCTACCTACCAACCCTACTTTTTTTGGCCTCGCCACCAGAAACACATCAATTTTTTTTTAGGCCTGAACACGGTTGTAGTAACAGTTCAATCAAATCATCATAACAACCTATAACTAGTGATGGAAATCGGATGAAATTTGTCCCAATCGATCATCGGTTCAATCGGATGGGACATAATCGATTACTTTCCGATTAAAGTCGCGTTAAAAAGAAGTAGGGAAGAAACATTTTTTCCCAAGGCACTTGATTATATTCAGTAATATGAACTTCATTTAGCACTTTTCAACACAGTTTTAACCCTATTTAGTTATTATTTTACGAAAAAGATTTAATTTTCCAATGGATGTCAAATAATAACATTCACATCACATTATATTACTATTGTTTACATCACGTATTGATCCTATTCAACTCCAAATTGTCTCTGAGATAATTTTTTTGCCATCGGCGAGGTGTTCCTAAAAGAAAATTATCGTCAGAATTAATTCGTTTTGATACTTTAAACATTTTCGACGACGTCGCAGAACAATTTTTTGTGAATCGATTATTGTCGCTTTATATAACAGTAACTGATTATCAGCGACTTGCGACAATCGGAACATCACTACCTATAACAAACCTTTTTTCCCATATGTCAAATTCTCAAACGTAGTGAAAGTAACTGGTGCAGAAGATTGCTCTCTTTAATTTATTTTTGTACAGAGTATTTTCAATCTGAGTTATTCATATATTGATGAAAACACTCCATAAGAAAATAACGGGGAGCAAGCTGCTGCACCAGTTACAATCATTATTTGACATATTCGAAAATATCTGTTTCGACAGACAAAACCAACAATTTCAACAGACAACCACGTAATTGTTTTTTTACTTTCACTAGCTATAACTTTTTTTTCTGAGAAAAGCCATTCGCATGTCACCAGCATCCGATGCATCGACCAATCAGAACACACATAGTTTAATCCATCTATCCTCAATAGCGTGACAAGCGAATAGCCGTCCTTGGAGAAAAGTTAGCAAGTGAAAAAAAACAAAAAAACGATTATGTGGTTGTCTGTTGAAACAATAAAAATAGGTAACCATATATGTATGTTTTGCAAAATAGTCTTTTTTATTGAATTCAAGCCTTTTCTTTCTGTGTACATTGTTGTAAATTGTTTTTTTACTGGATAAACCACATAGTTTACAATGTAAATTATGCTGTTAAGCCAAAAAGTCGTTTTCAGCTAGGTTTGTGTTCGGCATATATATATATATGCATGGTTAAAGGGACAAGTTGCTAACATTTATTAAAAGCACCATAAGTATGCTACATGAACACATTAAAAATACAGAATTTGCTTGTAAAATGCAGTGTTTGCGCATTTTTTATGCAGATCGCGCATTTTATTGAAGTCAGTGTGCGCCAAGTCGCGCATCTGACAATCTTTTCAACTTAATTCAGTTTATCTTCATCGTATCTTACACGCTTCAGCCATGTTTGTTATTGTTTGTTTTCACTCGTGGTTATGACTAAAATACGTACTAAATCGCGTGTAGCTGCCGACTAAGTCATCTCGCGTGTGAAATGTAATATTCGTCAATATTTTATTTTTTCTACTTCCATTTTTGAGCGGACGATAGCTGTCAAAAAGGCCTGAATGTAAAATAAATGAACTCTATTCTGTATGTCATATTGTAAGGTCAATGTATGTCTCCCACATCTTTTCAAATCCCCCACATTTTTCAATTGAGTGGGGGACAATCCCCCATAATTTTGAAATTCTAGATGCAACACTGAAAATGGAAAAGTAATTCGCTTCTCATTCAGCTAAAGGCGAAAATTTCGTTTTTTGGAGTTGGAACCCTTGTCTTCATGTATCTATTAGGGCTGTCACATGTTCTTTGGGTCTGGATCTTGTTTTGGTCACAAATGGTCCTAATATAGCGGCGGCACGAAATACCCAAATATACCCAAATACACCCAAATATACCCAAATATAGTATTATTTATTTTTGTTTGTATAAAATATATATTATAATGAGAAATAAATAAATATTTATAAAATACAATGACTTAGCCTGCTAAAGCTTTCATTCATTCCGTTGAAATGGGCAGTTAAGATGTTGTAAGAAAATAAAGTTGTGACATTTGCTTATGTATTATATAGGATAAGGTTCTTTATGAATGTACTTTCAATTTTAAATCAAGATATGATATTTGTTGTCTACACTTAGATTTTTAAGGTGTAATTTTGTTGAAATTTCATATCATATACAAGTGTCCAATGTTATTTAAAAAAATAGCTTTAATGGAGTACATAATTATACTGTATTTTGGTTCAAAACACAGTGATAGGAAAATGTATATTTGGGTATGTTTGATTGTATCTTAGTGAAAGTGTATATTGTATTCATGATTAAAACAGCACTTTTTTAGTATAAAACCTTTATTTTAAGTATAATTGGGCAATATTTGGGTATATTTTGGCAATATTTGGGTAATATTTGGGTATTTAATCCATCTATCCTCAATAGCGTGACAAGCGAATGGCCGTCCTTGGAGAAAAGTAAGCAAGTGAAAAAAAAACACGATTATGTGGTTGTCTGTCGAAACAATAAAAATAGGTAACCATATATGTATGTTTTGCAAAATAGTCTTTTTTATTGAATTCAAGCCTTTTCTTTCTGTGTTCATTGTTGTAAATTGTTTTTTTACTGGATAAACCACGTAGTTTACAATGTTGCAACTTCTTTGTGGATTAAGCAAAAAAGTCGTTTTCAGCTAGGTTTGTGTTCGGCATATATATATGAATGGTTAAAGGGACAAGTTGCTAACATTTATTAAAAGCACCATAAGTATGCTACATGAACACATTAAAAATACAGAATTTGCTTGTAAAATGCAGTGTTTGCGCATTTTTTATGCAGATCGCGCATTTTATTGAAGTCAGTGTGCGCCAAGTCGTGCATCTGACAATCTTTTCAACTTAATTCAGTTTATCTTCATCGTATCTTACACGCTTCAGCCATGTTTGTTATTGTTTGTTTTCACTCGTGGTTATGACTAAAATACGTACTAAATCGCGTGTAGCTGCCGACTAAGTCATCTCGCGTGTGAAATGTAGTATTCGTCAATATTTTATTTTTTCTACTTCCATTTTTGAGCGGACGATAGCTGTCAAAAAGGCCTGAATGTAAAATAAATGAACTCTATTCTGTATGTCATATTGTAAGGTAAATATATGTCCCCCACATATTTCTCAAATCCGCCACATTTTTCAATTGAGTGGGGGACAATCCCCCATAATTTTGAAATTCTAGATGCAACACTGAAAATGGAAAAGTAATTCGCTTCTCATTCAGCTAAAGGCGAAAATTTCGTTTTTTGGAGTTGGAACCCTTGTCTTCATGTATCTATTAGGGCTGTCACATGTTCTTTGGGTCTGGATCTTGTTTTGGTCACAAATGGTCCTAATATAGCGGCGGCACGAAATACCCAAATATACCCAAATACACCCAAATATACCCAAATATAGTATTATTTATTTTTGTTTGTATAAAATATATATTATAATGAGAAATAAATAAATATTTATAAAATACAATGACTTAGCCTGCTAAAGCTTTCATTCATTCCGTTGAAATGGGCAGTTTAAGATGTTGTAAGAAAATAAAGTTGTGACATTTGCTTATGTATTATATAGGATAAGGTTCTTTATGAATGTACTTTCAATTTTAAATCAAGATATGATATTTGTTGTCTACACTTAGATTTTTAAGGTGTAATTTTGTTGAAATTTCATATCATATACAAGTGTCCAATGTTATTTAAAAAAATAGCTTTAATGGAGTACATAATTATACTGTATTTTGGTTCAAAACACAGTGATAGGAAAATGTATATTTGGGTATGTTTGATTGTATCTTAGTGAAAGTGTATATTGTATTCATGATTAAAACAGCACTTTTTTAGTATAAAACCTTTATTTTTAGTATAATTGGGCAATATTTGGGTATATTTTGGCAATATTTGGGTAATATTTGGGTATATTTGGGTGTATTTGGGTATATTTGGGTATTTCGTGCTGCCCCTAATATAGAGTCCTTGCACCTTTGCAAATTCATATACAAACCCTCTTGATAATTTCTGTCAAAGAGATTGCTTTGAGGCCTTGCCCTTTTCATATTATTCTTATATAAGCCTGAAAATTTTGTTTTTTAAAACATTTAAATTAAATCAAAGAGTAGCAGGCATAATAAATATAATCATGAGCTGATGACAGTGCAAGCATCATCATGAGCTAATCAGCCGGGTCAAATTTATTGAAGGAATCAGACCGAAAAACCAAAGGCTTAATTTTAAGATACTGTATTCAAGTAAAGGAAATTCATAAAGCAGAATCTTTGTGTAAAAACTAAAAAGAAATAGACCAAAATGTCTTACCGTATGAGCAAACATGTCACTGATTTGTTTTGATCACGATTGACAAGCCTGATCAGAATCCATCTTTTTTTGACAGCCTCGTTCTGAAATCCTACGCGTATTTATCCGAATGTTACAAAATAAACCCAACGGATTAAAATATATTTTTACGATACGATTCAAATGATCTTCTGTGAGGGTTTTTTTTTAATATTTAAGAATAACACGGCTTTTATTATTTATCATTTAACATTTGTTAGCCAGTAAGCATATGTTTAGTTTCCCATTTTCAAAAATGGCACATTTGTAAATCTGTCAGACAAATGGTATTTAACGGTTGCCTTGTAAATATGGAGTTGTATTATGAAAATTTATACACTTTATATAAAGAAAGAACAATTCGTTGGTCCAAAAACGACCACGCGAAACTCTCCTGGAAATATTTCTTGAGTTAGGGCTTTGGTCCTTATATGGATCTAAAGAAAAACCCCAAACTTAAGGAAAAAGCAAATATGAAACGGATTCAGAAAAATGATGTTTATACAATGTTTTTTTCTACGAAAATTTATACACTTTAAATGCAGAAAGAACAAATCGACGGTCTAAATAACGACCATAATGTGTATAAATTTGCGTTAAAAGACCATTTTCTTTAGCCAACTATTAAAACATCATTTGTTCAATTCCGTTGTGGGTCCGCTATTTTGCCATCAGTTTGAAAGGTAATGGTTTTTGGCTTTATAGTGTTGTAAAGAAAATCCTCCAAGCTGATGGAGAAACGAAACTGCAACACAACACTGCACAATCAGACAAATGGTATTTTAACAGTTTGCTCGAGAAAATTAATACACTTTATATACAAAAAGAACAAATCGCCAGTCCAGAAAAAAGATCAAGCCACGCAGAAATGTCCAGGACATGTTACTCGTGTTTGGGCTGTTGACCCTTTATTGGTGAAAAGAAGATCCTTTAAGACTGATGGAAAAACTATTCCGCTACGGCATCAGACAAATTGTGTTAATTGTTTTAATGGTTGGCTCGAGAAAATGGTGTTGTTCTTTTACGAAAATTTATACACAGAAAAAATCAAATCGCCTGTCCTAAAAACGACCATGCCAGGCGAAAATCTTTGGATATTTTGCTCGGGTTAGAGCGTTTATGTTGCTTGCTGTAACGGACACCCTCAAAGCCTATTGAAAACGAATCTACAACGGCATCAGACAAATGGTGTTTTAACAGTTGGCACGAAAAATGGCTTCTTTTACAAAAACTTATACACTTTACACACAGAAAAAACAAATCGCCGGTCCAATAAACCAGCATGCCAAGCGGAAACAGTAGCTGAAACTAAAAAGTGTAATTTTGAAAGGGGATCAAAATATATGGAACCTGCATACAACAGATATCCGGCCACATACGCGAGTATACTATAAGAATTCAAATGCTAGAAACAAAATAATTATATCGTGCTGAACATCTGAACATTATATGAGAATCGGAACAATATCTAAGAATCTGAATTAATGTACGGGACGAGTTTTCACCGCCTTCATGCTCTCAACAAGGCACAGCAATGATGAGAAAACAAACATGATAGTCTGATATACATGGCAAACATGGCAAGAAAAAGGTCACAATTCTTCACAAAAAGTCTAAGATCTAAGACATGTTTACAATATAAGCTTTAATAAACTAATTGGCCCTCAGGGCGGTGCCATATTTTTTTACCTCGGTGGCATGATTTATAAAACGTTTGTAGATGTCAATATGCATAAAATCTATAAGATTTGGGCTAATTAGTTTCACAGAGTAAGACTTAATTTTTTTCACTAGTATGTAAGTCAATATCAACCAGAGACCATGGACAGTGCAAATTTTGAACCTTGAAGAGTACTTACATGCTTAGTATCTTAGCCTTTTTCACTGTAGATTCTGAGAAAACTATTTTTAGTTATGATTGCTGTATGAGGATGAACCATTTCTTATCCAGAGTCACGGTTTACGTGTATAAAACGTTTTAAAAGGAACACAAGGCAATGTATCATGCCAAAAACCGTACTTTCTCACAAGAAGGTTTTAATGACTCGTTCCAATTTTTTAATTAAGGCATCCATCTCGAAACATTTGCATAAAATACTTTTATAGTTATTACAAATATTACAAATATTATAAACCTTTAAAGCAGATTTTTCTAGTTTTGCTCGACTTTTTTTGTAAGACCATATTTCAGCACATTTACTGAGCGTTTACCAGCCATATTTTACATGAAGTTTCGGTAAAGTATTTTTAAATGTGTTTAAATTCTTCATCTGTTGACTACATAATTGTATTTAGTATATTTTGAAAGAAGATGCTTTCTAGCATAACATAGCTTACTCAAGAGCTAAAATAGAAAAAAAACTTCATATTGCATTACATATTGGCCCACCCTCGTATGGCGTTATCATGGTAAGCTAAAATAACAATTTTTCAAATGTATGTGCTGAAGTTAAAATCTGCACTAACTACGGAAACAGTATCAACAAATGTTTAAGACCTAACTCTTATTGGAACTGTTTTTAATAATTAACAGCTTATTTTGACCTAAAAATAGCGCAAAACATACCTAGAAATGCCGCAAATCAACAAATATAGGGTTACCACGGCCGATAACGTTTTAAAAAGATACTTCTTGTTTATTATTTAATGAAAATAAACAACACAATACTACATTATTTGTAGACTTATACCATACATAAATGACCTCGATAAAATCATATAGAAAAAAAAACTTACACAAATGTTTAGCATTTGTCAACGTTGTACATGTAATTGCTCACTTCCGCTTTTTGTAGCTGCGTTACATTAAAAGTGGATTGGTCTACAGTTCCGTATTTCATATATTTAATGTAATATTTGGATATTATTATGAAATGTTTACTTGTTAAAGATATGTTTTATAAAATTCTGATTTTGTATGAAACATTTACATGATGGATAAGTTTATTTTGTACTAGAACATGTTGTTATCTGTTGTATTTATGTATGTTATATTGGATCATGCATTTAACACTTACACATAACTGTTTCGTGGTTTGTTGTTATTATGATACTAAATACGAGGGGTGATCCAAAAATTCGTGGACAATGTGTGTATCTCCATAACGTGACGTCCTACCGAAATGAACTCTTTGGATATTATTAATCAATGCTTTTTAATAAATTGACCAAATTTTAAAACACCAATTGCATTTGTTATCTATATATGACAATATAAAAACATTAAGTATCAAATTCGCGGCGCAGCTTACTTTTTCTCTGTGATGTAAACGTTTTCATCTCATTTAAACACATGTAAAACCTGTGCAAACAAAGAAAATTGCGAGAAACGTTATAATAACGTTGTTTTGATGTGTATGACGTCATTCTGTCAGTATTAGAAGACATTTTGAAGTTGCGGTTATTTTACGCTCGTACTTTAAAGAGCAGGTGCTAAAAACAGCTTTATCAAAAATGGACGTCACGGATCCAGCAAACCTTCGGACAGTTATACAGTTCTGTATAAATCTTGGAAAGACCCCTGGCGAGACAAAAACAATGATCGAAAGTGTGACAAATAAACCGTCAATGTGTCGTTCTCTAGTTCTCAGCAGAAGTACTCAGTCATTCACCATATTCGCCTGATCTTTCCCCGTGTGACCTCGCCTTGTTTCCCAGGTTAAAGAAAGAGTTGAGAGGGAAACGTTTTGACAATCTGGACGAGTTGAGAGGAGCCATCCAATGCATACTGTCATCATTCAGCCAGGAATGGTATGCGAGTACATTTAGAGACTGGGTCCGCCGCCATGAAAAATGTGTGCGGGTTAAAGGGGAATACTTATAAAAGTTATAAGGCAAAACGGTAACATAGATTACTTCCTATATATATGATAGCATAACGTCGTTTGTGACGTCGTGAGCTGCGCCGCGTTTTGTCATGTCTATGTATATAAACTGGTGCAGAATCGTTAATTCTTGTACAATCTTTACAATATTTTGAGAATTTGTCGACATATGCTCACTTCATAAGATACTAGAATTTCATGTGATTTGCTTTATTACTTTTTGTTTTATGCAGCGTGTCCACGAATTTTTGGATCACCCCTCGTACCATCAAAGTAATAATTTATTGTATTATAAACCAATGCGCTTTAAACCATTCAGAAAATTTTGTTATAATGTGTTTAAAGAAGTTTCAAGATATATGAAACAATAAAACAATGTTAAATAAAGCATGGAAAAGATATCAAGAAGACTTTCTCGCTGTCTAGACATTATTGGCTACCGTATGGATTTGATTAGATGTAGAAGGGATATGTACAGCGCTTTAGACCGGCAATTAAATATGAAATGGAAAGAATATACTCAACTTACTGCCGGGAGCAAAGCCGAAGGAATAGCTAAATATTATGAAAGTGATGTGGATCGTTTGTTTATTTATAAAAACGTCAACTGCTTTGAAAATGGGATTTCCAATTCAAATTCTGTTGTGTTTCACATGGATCAAGTCGGGTGTTCGCCTGGCTATACAAGACTAATATTAAGCAATTTGAGCAAAGGGAAACTTTCTTCTGAAGTAAGTAATTGTCTAGTTTTTGACAACGGTCATACATATATCTCAAATAAGTTTAATGAAAGCTTTGTTGCGTTTTCTGAATATGGAAGGAATGCACATAAACTGGATGTAAATGGATCACATGCTGAGTTCGTACGAAACCATGGGCCATGCGCTTCATTTAGAAGTGAAAATCTAAAATACGACTTCGTTGCTGGTTTTAAATGTACGAGTGAAAAATTGCTACAGAAATGGAAACAAAGAAAACGAACTTGCAACTGGCCAGATCCTAAATTAGTAAATGAAATATCGACTATAAATGGAACTGTTGTGCCGGTTGCAAATGTAAACAGTAGATTTCCAAATACAGAATGGCGGATTTGCTTCACACAAGCAGAACTGTTGCTGGTTAATTCCCTTGATGAACATCAAATCAAAGTATATTTATTGCTGAAACAGCTTTCGAAAGCAGTTCTTGAACCAATATGCCCGGCAGTTTCATCATATATAGTGAAAAATGTTATTTTATGGCAAGCGGAAAACACTCCAAAGAAATATTTTGCTCCAAATTGTCTTCTACTTAGGACAATTGAAGCCCTTAAATTCCTTCAGGACTGTTTGAAGTCTAATTTGCTGCGGAGTTACATGATAGAAGACAGAAATATTTTCCAAGGAAGGATTTATGAAGGTCAGAGGAAACAACTCATTGATAAAATTGATCAACTTTTGAATAAAGATGAAGAATTTATTAACGAATCAAAGAAAGCATTTAGTGAATATGAATATTTTGATACACCGACGTTCATTAGAAAAGCTGAAAAGGAAGAACAAATTGAAAAACTTCTTCTTATGCAATCTTTAGCTTATTTGAAAGTGTACGACCGGTCTTACACACGTGAACAATTTCTCCATTGTCTGGGAGAAGATCAAGAATACTCAGAACTAAAAGCAGAATTGTATAGTCTAGTTGTACCAGAGAGACGCAATGAACCAATCCATGATATTAACTTTCTTTTATATAGAAAACGATTATTTTGTATTTTACAAAAGCATTGAGAATTGTTACGTTATAGCAAAACAAGAAGTGTTCAAAACAATAATTTTATACCACTTATTTTTACAACAACAATGTTTTATAAGACTATGTGACAAAGAGGAAAATTGTATTATCAATTGTATATGAAATCAATTAAAGTAGGCCAGATACAAATTTCCGAAAAATGTCAATAGATCCTTAAAACTTTTTACAAGGAAAAAGAGCAAATACAAGCTTGAACAAACGTGTTTCTAAATTTTTATATTAAAGGGATTAAAGTTTTTTTTAAAAAAACGTTTTTTTTGTTTGTTTGTTTTTGTTTGTTTTTGTTTTTGTTTTTTTTTTGGGGGGGGGGGGGGGGGCTGGGGATTTTTCATATAAACATATAGGCAATATGAAAATTGTTTGATAGTATTTCTGAAAAGAACCTTTTAAAAAAAAATTTAAGATGTTTGGGGACTATTAATTGTATATTTCGATTAAGGTTTCGATTTTTGAACATTTTTGTTAATATTTTTTTGGGGATTCTTAATTATATTACCGGTACATTAAGTGCTAAAGATGCTACCAGGTGGTGAAAAAGATGCACTTTTTTTGATCTCTCATAAAAAAACTCTGCAATTATCATCTATTTCATTTTTTTCAATGATCTTGGTGATCTCTTCTTCTCCGAATTTTTAATGAACGCAAATTTCACAAAACATATCACCAAACCTCTTTTTACATCGGTCGGATCTGTATTCATAAATGTATACAAACCAGTTATACACAGGAAATATTGACAAATTGACACAATGCAATACAAATAAACAGGAACAAAAACAAAATAATAAAAACGCTAATAGTATGTTCTGAAGACTTTGCTCCATACTGTGTTACATAACAAAACAAACAAAAAGGTGAAATATGGAAACTTTCAAGACATTCCAATGCGGCAAAATGATGCAGGTTCAGTTTTGTTAAGCATGTTCATAAACAGATAGTTCTGGCTTCCAAAACTTTATAAGCCGCTATTTAACATTTTTGTTTTTCATCTGATGCGGCATTAAAGTTTTGGATTAGACCCGTTACGAAACCTAACCAGAATAACATAAGTTGGTTTATTCTTGTTTTTCACTTGCAAATACACTTGACCCAATCAATTCTTGTGCATTTTACGATAAAACAACTATTTTAATATCGTTCTATACCAATTAAAGTATCAAAATATTAATACTGTCATTAAAATTGCCTATTTAACTGTAGACTATAGTCGGCCATGACATTCAGGTGCCACGCGAGACCTCGTATGACGTCAGATTTGAATAGAGTCGTGTACTATATTTAGAACATTTTGTTGACATGATTTCGATATTTTTATTCAAGATAATGTTTTTATTTATTTTCATTAATTTTTTAGTACTTAAATATGATTTTATTGAATATAAAAGTCAGTAAATCACCCTTTCAATATCTTTAAAAAAAAGTAATTTATAAAAAATATTGGAAGCACATGGGTTCATAAAGGTCAATCTCGTAATCACGTGGTCAAACATTTTGGCAATATGGCGGCCAAGTGCCGAAATTTTTACCTGTCGGAAACTATTAGGTAGTTTATATTCGTAATAAGATTTTATTTGTCAATCCTTGGCTTATCAACAGATTATATATAGTTTTATCAATGTATGCTTCACTTTACTTCATGGCATGTTCGATGAATAAATACGAGCGTGTCAGATTCCTGGCACGATTATTGGTGGACTTTCCCTACGGGGTTATCTTCAGCGTTCACGTCATGTCATAGTATATAAAAGTGTACACTGAAGACCTTAAGCTAATAAACAGACAGTGGTTTATTGCAAGCTATCGTCTATGATGCGACGTTTCCGATCCATTTTATGAATCTATATTTCAAATTTCTAAATGGGCGTTGCTTCTGTATTTCAAATTTCTAAATGGCCGTTGCTTCTGTATTTCAAATTTCTAAATGGGCGTTGCTTCTGTATTTCAAATTTCTAAATGGGCGTTGCTTCTGTATTTAATTTCTAAATGGGCGTTGCTTCTATATTTCAAATTTCTAAATGGGCGTTGCTTCTATATTTCAAATTTCTAAATGGGCAGTCAAAGGGCACATGGGACAGGGACAGGAGACCCAGTACCAGTTTACGCATACTGTCTCATTTACTTTTTTACTTTATTTTGTGTTTTGAAAAATAAAAGGTATTATACTGCATAAACAGATGAGGTAGTTTGACTGTGAACAATATACATTATCAGATGATCATTTTCTTTGATTATGATTATCATACGGATCGTATTATGAGGATTTGCATCATAACAGAAAAAATCATAAAAAAAGGATAAAATGCATAAGATATTTCAAAATGAATTTTCTTTTACTTTGTAAAGTATGAATGAATATAGAATTTGTTATGATGATCGATGTTAAAAATCTAATTAATATCATCAAAATTTGGAGTGGTTAACACGTCGGACTAGTAATCTAAGGATTGGTGACCGCGTGGGTTCATACCGGGTACCCCATCAGGGCCAAGTCGTTGTTTTAACCCCTGGTGTTTCTTTGAATTTAATCCATAGAAACAAAACAAACACGACAATTACAATTGTAGAAAATTATACAAAACACTGTTCTATATACTGGTATGTATATGCTTTTATTTTTCTTAATGCATAGATCTACATTGTTAATGAAACACATATAATACAATACAAATAACTAATGTCAAATGAGCTGTTCGTTGAGTCGGTCATAACACATCATGCCTGTAAGAAAAATAAACTTGTGTCAGTACTTGGCAATAAATCAAATATAAATGATATTGTTATTCAAAAAGGTACTGTAGTATAGATAAAATTATAAATCATATACACAATGTACATAATACTTTTATGATTTCTCAACTAATTAAATGCTTGTAAACTTTAACGGTGAAGAAATGTAAGATTTCAGCATTTACCTTTTTCTCCACCTTCCTGTTTCCTCTCTAGTGATACCTGCAGCATTTAATCCTACAAAAGTGATATCGGCACCACCAGCATTTTCCGGCATAATACTCTCCATATCTACACCTCTTTCGGCATTTGCATCTTCTACCATATCCACCGCCATAACCACCGCCTCCACCAGAGGGGTACATTCCCCCTCCTCCACCAGAGGGGTACATTCCCCCTCCACCAATTGGGTACATTCCCCCTCCACCCATGGGGTACATTCCCCCTCCACCCATGGGGTACATTCCCCCTCCACCTGAGGGGTACATTCCCCCTCCACCAATGGACATCATAGAGCCACCCATTCCTTCGCCATACCCGTCACCTCCGCCACCGTATCCATACTCCGGTGTCCCTGAAATTATAGAACGGAAGTTTTACCATATCATACCATATACTGCTTAAGCCGGTGCTATGGAGCATTGACAGTAGCTTGCACTTTCCAGTACTTTCCATACATTACAACAAACATGAAATAATCATATATTGGTATTGTTTGTACAATATCTATTTATTTAGCAGATAATTTAATTTTGTCTAGAACAAAATATTATTGATCATCATATAATTTCATCATATAAAATAACATTTTTTTTCTATATAAATATCCAAGTGATACATTCTATTGTTTTATCAATATTTAAGATACTTATCGAAAATGTGCCTATTGTAGACAAATTCAATTTAATTCTGTTTTAACTATTTATCTAACACCACAGTTTCAATATCCATACGTCACTCACGTGTTAAATGTTACAATTGGTTATTTAACTATACAGGTGAATTTTCTCATTATTATTTTTTTGTTTGTTTGATTGAAAACATAATTGATGAATTAGCATATATTAAACATAATGATGATAAAAAGAAATCGCTTGTCGGTTTCAATTATATTATGATAAATTGTATTATTTATTCCATTGAAATTTAAATTAAGATGTAAGTACCAAAGTATCAATCAATCAATCAATCAACCAATCAATCAATTAATGAAGCTTTAAAACCATTTTTTAAACACGGCGATTTGAGAAGAAAATAAATTTATCAGCTTAGAGTTGAAACTATCATATGAAATTAAATAATATGAAAATATTCAATACGATATAGATACAGATTATGAAATAAAAACAAAAGAAATATGCATTCAAAATATGTTAAACCTTTAGGTGTTCAGTTCAAGAAAGCATCGATATACCTAACTTCTAAATTATATTTATAACTTGAGGTAAAGTTCTTAAACTATAATACTTGAAAATAATGCTCCGTGCAATTGCAAGAGCAGAGACATCAGAAGGCATAAAATGTCAGGTAAAAAAGAAAAGATGTTCTGAGAGCATTGAAAATTTCACAATCAGCTCCATTGTTTATTTAAGGCAGTCTTTCACCAGGCTGTCACCGACGTACGCATTACAAAACTTTTAACAACAAAATACCTAAAGTAGTTTACTTTATTCCACTGGGCAATTTGCTCTTAATGGCATTACTGTGGCAGTGTGACGTAAAACCCAAACAAACAAACAAATCATCATGGCATTACAATCACGGTATAATTAGCGAACAATTACACACCATTTACCTAAATACATCAACATATGGAAAAGTTCGAACAGAAATTTATAAAGCTATTATTATATGTTGATATTCTATGCATTGTATACTCTTGTGTTGCTACATGTAGCTAGAGTTTATAAAGTGTTGTTTTGTTCTGTTGCTCTGTTCTGCTAACATTAAAATGAATAATACTAGAATCGATGACCTGGAAGGACCAGACAAAAGCATAACTGAAATAAAATAACTACTTACCCACAGCCAATGTTGCAAGCACGAAAACAACGAAACCAACGGCAATTTGCATCTTTCTATCCTCTGATGTATATGCTTATCTAGTAAGGAATGGTACGCCTTTATATAGGCTTGAACAAATCCATGACGACAAAGGTTGCACAATGTTTGCTTGTTTGTTTGATTTTTTTATTGATTTTTATTATTCTTTTTTTTTATTTTAATTGAATGCTGTTTAATATCATACCAAACATAAAGAGTAATAACTATCCACGATCACATCTTGGATTTTTTATTTTAAAAAAAATGTACATAAACCATTGCATTTAATGAGACGATTTTGACATGTTGCGCAATAAATAAGTTATTTTGCATATTAAAAAGTTAGTTGTGACGACACTGTTATCTTATTGATAAATAAATTTCTTCTTTTTTTGTAATTTATGAGAATGTATGTGGCATTTGGAAAAAAAATGAAGAAAAAAATCAGTCGCGGAAATTAAATGCTTTTCTAAACGATGATTAGTAATTCTATTTGATAAGTTTAATGATTGATAGCTATTATGGGTTGTTTATTTTCATATTATTACGCTGTTTTGTTAGTGGTTACGTATTGATTTTTAATAAGGCCATGGAAAGTCGTATTTTGAAAACAAATCGTTATGTAAGATCTTTAACTTCTAAACCAACCGGAATGCTTTAGTAAACTACAGGGCTAAAAGATATTATATTTTTTGTTATTCTATAGTGAAGGGCTTAAAGAAATTATATTTCTGTTATTGCATAATTCCGGGCTAAAATATATAATATATGTGTTATTGCATAGTACGGAGCTTAAATATATTTTATTTTTGTGTTATTGTATAGTACAGGGCTTAAAGATGTTATATATTTTTTATTGTATTGTACAGGGCTGAAGGATATTATATTTTTGTTATTGCATTGTTTATGGCTAAAAGATATTATATTTTGTTATTGTATAGTACAAGGCTAAAAGATATTATATTTTTTCATTGTATTGTTCAGGGCTAAAGAATATTATAGTTTTATCCTGCCTATAAGATACACATATAAACTACCGTTACATCAACATTTAAATGCATATATAATAAACACTACACTAAACCGATGACTTCACCATATTTTTAATTGATTCTGATAAATTAAAAGGCTTAATTCATTAACATGTTAGTAAACGAAATATTCTTGTTGATATTTACTGACCACTCCATTAGTTTATAGTTTACATGGATTTATTCAGTTCGAATGTGTTGGAAGCTATTAGCATCTTGAAACACTCTAGAATCTTTTCCTGGCACCAACCAGTACTAAGCAATGAAAGTCAAGTTTTTTGCTAAAGGAAACAACAGCTTGCACCTGACGGGCCTGTTCGAACCCACGCGGCCAGCAATCCTTAGATTGCTTATATTATTCTTTTTTAATAAGGCCACTTCGACCGCCTCTTCCATCTACAATATAATTTAATGTTTAAGTATTTATAATTTTGTCTTGAGCCACCTTATGCAAGGAGACTTTCTACTTAGATTGACCATTCCGAGGTCATCGCCAAGTGAATGTATCTACGGGTCTTTCCAGTATTGATCTTGATAGTACTAAACTATATATATATATATATTGATTTGTGTGATGCTGGTTTCTATCACAGACACGAGTATCGGACCTGGGAAGAAAAAAAATATGACCAGATTGATAAAAAAAAAACCTGTTTCCATCTTAAAAGTGTCAAAAACCAAAAAAAAAAAATGTAAATAATGACCCCCTTTAAAAATATACTATAAGTTAACTTATAGTATATTGTTTGAAATTATTTTTATGATACTGTCGATTTACTAGACTGATTACATTTATCTGATTTACTTAAGTAATCGTGCTACGATTACTTTAGAGATATTGCAATTCTATTAGACAAAAATAATACTAAAATAACTTAATAGATGAAACCTTGAATTATTTGGATTATTTGGATAATGGCTGTATTACCTTTTAATGTGGTTTGTTTCATCAAAATAACCGTAAATCAAAATAACCTAAAATCAAAATAACCTTAAAGTGGCATAATGCTCATTTGTTTATCGTCAAATTGACTTGAATTAGATATCATTTTTAAAAGCCTTCCCGTGACTATTTTAATGGTGATTAATCAATTATTGATAAATAGAAATGTTAAGGATATAAAAAAATGCCTAAAATAAAATAAGACTGTCCAACTCTTCTTTATCAACTGAGCGTAACTAATATATACTGAACATTATTTGAAGAAATTATCGTATGCCACGTGGGTTATTGAATATTCATTAAAAAATTTAATATGAAATTGGAAGCAAATAATGCAAAATGTTGTAAACTCATTTTGACATTTACCTTTTCTCTTAACATTTACACTTGGATGGGCATCATGTCATCTTAAAACTTAGCTTAACAATTAACTTTAAAACGAAATTAATAATCTTGAACAAACAAAGAGATCATTTTATAAAAAAATATTTTGATGGGTTTTGAATGATGTGTTTAGTAGGCTTATATTTATTGTTCAATAATAAACCCAGGGCATCATCAATTTTAAGACGCTTTGTCATTATAAAACGAGATCATTGATATCTATTAATTTCAATTAAACATTTTAAAATGAGGGGAATGGCAATTTAATATTTTAAAAAGAGAAAAAAAATCAGCATTCATCATTGAATTCGGAAATCCCTATCAATATAAATATAATTGATATACAAAAACGTTTTACAAAATGTCAGTACAATAAAATATTAAAAGAAAGTTGTCACAATGCCATAAACGTTTACAGTCTGTAAATGAGAAGCCACAGGATGTAATTACATAACAAATATACATAAAAATTGTAGATTCGTTTATGAGAAGTAAGGAAATATGAAACATCTGTCTAGCCCGTTAGCACCGACCGGCTTAAGCGATTTGTAAATTTCATGGTATCTAAGTATAGTCAGTCAAATTTTTCTTACTGTTTATGTTGTCATATTACGTACCGCTGAGGGATCTCAGAAATTAAATTGTTCATGTTGTCATAATTAATGTTAAGAAACATTGCTCATTAGATACTAAATTGTTGTAATGTTAACATATGCATGATTTTAAGGATATTGCGGATTCTGTTACTAGTTTTATATTTGTACAAGTATGTAAGTAGAGGGTAACCGGCTGTTTTCGGGGGTTAATTGGGAGGAATGGGGTTTGGACTTGTTTTGTTTTTTTAGGGGGGGGGGGGGTTGTATTTATTTTTTATTTTATTTCATTTTTACAAAATCTGGAAAAGCGGAGATCCCACTAAGTTGAGAAGATAAAAATTGCATACGTTTTGACTGAGTATGTTTATTGGAGATAATGTAAGGTGCACCATCTCTTACATCACCCCTCCAGCACCGGCTTAAACAGTAGCCAATCTTCAACAGAATAATTAATGCATTTGAATCAATGATACCGAAGGACCAGAAATATTATATAACAACACTGCCATTAAGACCGAGCGGTCACACAACACTTTTACACCTGTTGTTTTCAGTATAAAAATCTGGAAAATTTGGTATTTTGATAAAAACAGTTCTGTTTTGTATCTAATGTTTCTTTCATTAGTGTTTATTATGTAATGC